GTGGTGGTGGTCCTGTTGCAGAAGTGCCCCAAATTCCTCATCCAACCAGCACTGCCTCCAGCAAGGCAGCTGCCAGCCTGGCCCCACTCCTGCGCTGGGGCTGTGGCAGGCTGGGGACCGCGCCGGCTGGCCCAGGGGGATGCAGACACAGACAGGAGGGCTGATGCTTCTTTTTTTCCTTTTGTTTTATAGCAATGCCTGGCTTTTTATTCACAAGCAGAGGCCAACAGAAGGCTGCTCAGTAAACTGTTTATGTCCTGAAATGTGGCCTGCTGAAGCCAGACACCACTCAAGCAGCCTCAGATGTGGTTTAAAGCAGAGTGGAAGAATTCATTCATAGCACTGCCCTGGCAAGAGCACAGCCATCGTGAAGCGCTTGCATGAAAAACCTCACAAGCTGCAGGTGGTGAACGAGCCTGACAATGGCTATTTATGCCAAAATGCCTTTTTATAAACTCTGCTGCCCCACTTTGACCGAAGGGCTGATCCTCATGAGCTGCCAACCGACTAACACTGCTGGTCTCAGGCCACGGGGTGACTATGCACCACACTTGGCATTAGTGGGATGTACCCTCTCCAGCTCCTGCCAGCCGGAGCCCCAGGCAGAGCGTAGCAGACCACGGCTTGCTGCCATCACCTGCACCCATGGCTCCCCCCACTGCACTCCTCCCCTCTGCCAGCCTGGGTGCCATGACGCACGTTCCAGCCCAAACAGCCTCCCATGGCCAAATCCCAACTCTCATTAGTGTGCTGCCAACTCCGCTCGCGGCGCAGCCACACAAGCGCTGGAGCTGTGGGCAGCAGCCGGCATCGCTCCGTGCCAGGAGCAGCGTGCCCACGGGGACATGGCATGGCACTGCGCCGGCTGCCTGGAGCTGTCTGAGGTGGGATGAGCCCTGCGTGACCATGCAGGTGCAACACTCCAGGTTACATCACAGCCCACAGATTTCTCCCTGGGGTGCTCATCTGCTGCTGGGTGGCAAACAGCAGCCTCAGGGTGGGTGATGTGCAAGCCCTGCACGGAGCGCTCAATCCTGGCACGGGGCACGTGCTGCAGGAAGGTGAGCAAATACCACCTCTCAGGTGGCAGCAAGATGAGCTCTCATGCTACATGCAGTCAAGCTGATACTTGCTGCCTGCACAGCCCTGTGCAGGCTAGGTGGGTATGGGCAAGCCAGAGGTGGGTAAGGGCAAGCCAGAGGTGAGCACGGACAAGGCTTGCATGTCCCAGGCTGGCAGGCTCTGGGATTTCAATCCCTGCTTTTGCCTGAGCCTTTTTAATTAACGAAGCTCCATACCCCAACCAACCTGAACCCCAAATAGCCCCATGACAGGCTCAACCTGCTGGTTTGAGCTCAAAGTAGCAAAACTACTACACTTGCACAGCCCCATTTGCTGGGACACCTACCTGGATTTCGGCACAAAGGTGAGACCCATGGAGCTGTCAGGGTCCCTGAGACCCTCACCACTCCCAGGCACTGCTGGGGGTATGGGGGAGCCTGGCTGCAGCTGCCTGGCTGGACGGACAGATGTCCCACTGACACAGGGCTGGGAGGGTTGCTCGAGGACAGAAATATGCTTTACCTGGGGATGGTTCCTCTGCAGCACGAGGGAGTGCAGCTCAAAGGCTCAGGGATCCTTGCTGGTACCACTGCTGCAGTGATGTGGCACGTACCAGACCCCAAACCAGGTCTTCAGGCAGCGCTGCCATCGCTCTGGGCAGGACAGCAGCACACTTCCCGAGACAGCTGCCACACGGCTCCCCAGACACACGCCATCCAGCCAGGGGTTCACAAGGGTGCTTGAAACCAGTCAAGCAGTTTCTTTTTATTTCTTAAAAAAAAAGAAAACAAAAAATAAACCCACCAAAGAACACCCAAACCCCACAACACTTAAAAAAAAAAAAAAAATAAAAAAAATCAATTCCCTAATGGTGAAAGTATAGATACGGCATTTACACAGCTACATCTATCTTCCGCTGACCCCCCACCCGCCCACAGTAATGTAGATTTATACGCGCTTACGTAATATAGCCAGACACAGACAAACAAGTGGGCTTCGAGAGCCTGCGAGAAGGACAGGGTGCACTGGGGACCTCCAGCCTGCCGGGGGTGTGCCGAGCTGCAGGACCTCCCCAAAACACAACTCTTTGGCCCCAAGCCACGGTGATGCCCCCCCTGCCGCAAGCCCAGCCTCGAGGCTGCGCTGGTGATGGGCAAGGAGGGAGGTTGGTCTTTGGCAGATGGGGTGATGTGCCTTGCGGCCAAGCTCAGGGAACCAAGCTTCCCGGCCGCCCTCCTCCTCCTCACGAGGTAGTCGGGAGCTTGGCCGCACGTGACGTGCGAGGTACAGCGAGGAGGCGCAGCCTGGCAGAGGGTACGCACGGCTGGGTGACCCGGGGGGACTCGGGGGTAAAGCCCTGCCAGCCCAGCGGCTCTCAGCATCTTCCTGACAGGAGCCGGTGTCCAGCCTGCGGGCCCTTCGCAGATGGAAGAGCAGTAGGAGGGGGAAAGGCTGCAGGTGTCTGCATCCTACCAAGGGTGACATCCCCCTGGGGCACTCACCCAGCCTTCTTGGAAGCTCTTTGGGAACAAGGGAGCGATCCTGTCACGCGCTCAATGAGCCAAATACAGTACTTGTGTCAGCAAAATGAAGCACTACCAGTTCTGAGGTTCAGTCTGGGAGGAAAGCAGAAATAGCCCTCATTTAGTATGAAGGCAACAGAAATAGCATTGTCCCCTGTGAGGAAAGCCGGGAGCAGAGAGGTCTCTGAGACAGAGAAAGGAGGGACACTTCTGAGATTAAAAGGCCATTCAGCAAAGAGGACAAGGACACAGTGCCACAGGGAAAGGGCAAGCAGCCCTTCCACCCCTTGCACGAACTGCCGGCAGCCAGTGGAGATGCGGGATGCAGATCCAGCCCCCTCCCCGGATACGGTGGGGGCTGCATTTGGCCACCGGGCAGCTCTGTCTTAAATCATTCTGTCCCCATTCCTTTCCAAAGCAAAAGGGATTTAGTGGAGCAAAGAGATGTGCAGAGACAAGGCGGCATTGTTCCCCCAACCCACCCCGCAACTCTCCTGGGAGCACATCAACACCTCGCAACGTGCCACGCACCAAACTTTGTTATTGGATTGGGTTGCAGATGCTTACTGCCAGCTCAGGTGAGTCAGCCTGATCAGAGGCTGATGTGCCACCAGAGAAAACTGTAGGTGGGAGGGAGAGGAATCAGCCGGAGACTGGAATGCATGAATTCCCACAGCTAAAAATGCACCTTGGGACCTCTGGATATGAGGCTGGACTGGGATGGTCATCGCTTCTCTATCAGATCAAAGCAGGGCTGGGACAAACTGCCCCGTTACCCTCCCAGAATGACCCTAGCCTGAGACATCACCATGTTCTGGGTAGAAAACATGGGACAGAGAAGAAAGTGAATGTTGGGAGGAGTGGGCATCAGTCTCTCAATTCTGCCAGCCTCAAATTAGAGGGAAAACTCTGTTTTCAGCAACAGAACAATATGGCTGCAAACGTGTGGCTGCAGCGATTCCACTTGCAATTAGACTAGAAAGGCCAAAGAGGTCTGGTCAACAAGAAACCCACAGAACTACCGGGTTTAAAGCTCATCTGAAAAGAGAAATGTGGCCCTGAATCTGCAAGTAGGCAAGTACAGAAGGGAAGAAAGCAGCTGCAGGGAACGACAGCTCATCCATGCTCATCCTCCTGCTGGGATAAGCAACACTGCGGGCAAGATTAGGCTTGACAGGCAGGAATGTCAGCACGGAAAAACCTCAGGCTCTGCTTGACCTGAAGCCCCCCAAACAGCCTGCCACGCAGGATGAAATGAAAGTACCTGGAAGACAGGCAGATGGGGTGACAAACAAGGCAGGGAGCCCCTGAGCACCAGACACGCCTCGCAACTGGTTGCGATGAGGAGCTGAACTCCCACATTCTGGATTGCACTTGATAATATCAGCACCTACTGAAGGACCCACTTCCCGGCTGCTGCCCGCCAGCCTGGGGAAGCTCTGTGGGTCGTGGGAAGGGGTGGTCCCCCATTAGTCCAACAAGCAGGGCAGTCTGTGTGGGAAGGAAAGCAAAGCATCCTCTTGCCAGGACTTTTGGGGTCATTTTGGTCCTCTGTGCCTTGCATAGTATTCTTCAGCTATCGAAGCAAAACACTGCTTGTTGTTTGATTGCAAGACTGCAAGGGAGAAGCCTGCAGCGTCCTGGATCAGCACAGAGAGGACCTGTTAAATGTGTGTACTCATTTTTCTATTTTTTTTTCCACCAGGAGGATGTTGAAGTTAACACTTGTCGTAGAGCAGGGAAGGACCAAGGGACGGTCCCGTGGCATGCATGGGGGGTAGCAAGGCACAGCCCTTAATCAGAGCACAACGCCTGTGCCTGCATGTGCATCCAGAGCTACAGGGATCCCATTCTCAGCAATCATTCCTCTTTTTTGCCGTGTTCCTTATGGCTCTGCTACACACCTGGACTAAGCCATGTGACCTGCAACATTTGACCATGACCCTGAGCCTTGGGAAAGGCAAATCTTACTGTGTGGCCAGGTTTCCTTCGCTGGTTCTGTGCCACGCTTCACCTCTCTCCCTGGCTACTGCTGTATTTCATTTTAATTCCCCATACAGGTAGGAAAAATGTCTATCAAGATCTATCTCCAGCACGGAGGACCACGGTAGCCATCGTATTCCTGTAGCAGCCCTGGCTGCAAGGTTGGGCTGCTGGCGCAGCCATGGGAGCCAAGCGCTCAGGAGGACGTAGGGAGGAAGGTGGGTGGGAGCACATGGGCAGGGAGGAGAGGCCGAGCTGCTTCCTCCAGGCTGCCGCCAACGGGCAGCAGCTGGGATGCGTGGGTTCTCAATTATTATCTTTTTTTTCGTTTGTTTTTTAAAGGCAGCCTCACAGAAAACTATAAATTAATCTGCTAATTAAATACCCAGGTGAGACACCAGGCAACCTCCAGCCATGCAAGCAGAAGAGTGGCTATGGCTTCTTCCGTAGGTAATTGGAAGGGATCCAGCCCTCCCAGCACGGACCCCCAGTCAGGACCTTGCAAAACCACCAGCCACTGCTGTTCTTCTCACGAACTTCAAACAAAGTCCCTTCTTTAAAGCTGTTGGTCTCCTCGTCACCTTCAAAATCCGCCACTGCCACATAGAGAGCTTCCCTGGAGATGTCCGCACTGGAGACAGGGGCTGAGGTCCTCTCCTTGGCTTCTCCTCTCTCCACTGGCTTGGATATGACCTTTGGGTTTATGCTGCTTTTCGCTTTGGCTTCATCTTGGATGGCAGCAGACAGGAACGGCTTGGCTTTCGGAGGAACCAGCATTGGCCTCCCCGGCACTGGCGATGACCTGATTTCAGGCGTTTCCCGTGCTGGGGCCTTGAGCTCTGCTGCAGGGCTGGAGGCAGAACCCCCCGTTTTCTTTGGTGGGGGTGGTCTGCGGGGTGGCACAACAGGGCGCTGCGGTGGGGGCTCCCTGGCACCCGGGGTGTTTGCTGGGGCCAGGGGAGATTTGGGCAGAGCCTCTTTCATGGTATGGCTGTCCAGCTTGGGCAGGGGTTTGCTCTCCATGTTTGGTCGCTCCTGAAACCTTCCAGGAACCTCCGAAGAGACCATGGTGTTATTGAAGGAGCTTTCACCAGAAGCAGTGTCCGGCTCGGAGGTTTTCTCTGGGCACTTTGCAGGTCGAAGCTTGCTCCGCAGGCTGCAGATATCCAGCTTATCATCAGCTGGAGGTGGATCAGTCCGGGGGGCTGCAGCAGGCTTTGGCCTGATCTGAGGTCTTGACTTCAAGAATGGATTCTGGGTGATGGGCTCAGGCTTGTCCTCCACGGGCTCAGCTTTTGGCTTAGTTGGCTTGACAATGGGCCGGAGGTTTGGCTTCTTCACCTCTTTGGCCGACACCTTGTGTCCACATTCCAGTCCCATTTCATTTTTCAGCTGGAAGAGTTTGCCCTTCTCTGGTTTCAGCTCGGGCTTCTTGATGTCCTTTGGGGTTGCCGACTGCTTGGGTGGGATCATGGGCAAAATCATGCCCGGGGGCTTGGGGGGAGGCCTCTGCCTCTCCAGTAACTCGCCTTCTGATTTAATGATGGACTCCTTCCTGGGTGGCAGGCTGGGCTTCTCCTCTGCATCACGGTCCGAGATCTCCTCGTACCCGCCAGTGAAGGCCGGGTCCGCACTCTCAGGAGCCTCCTTCCCCTTCCAGTCTTTGGCCCACTTCCCGCTGCAGTCTGTACCATTAGGAGGAGCCTCCGGCAGAGGACGGCACGGTCCCGTCG